AATAAAAACAGACGAACGCACAAAAAACTTTACAAAATAAAAGCAAAAAATGCTTTAATTGTCGCTCAAGTAGCCCCTGCCACGCCCCCTGCTGCTACTAGCGCTGCGACTGCTGCTGGCCATGGCAGCAACAGTTTCGCTACATTTCTTTATTTATCTGTTGTTGTTGCTGGTTTGTGACTTTCTTTCCGCAATAAACGTAAAAAGTGACACCCACAGCACGCCGGCATACAAATGCGAACAATTCGAGCGGTCATCATCGTTGCCAAGATCTGGCGCCGCTCCCCGCTCCCCCTCGCCTACACACTTACCCTCCACCTCACCCTCTCCGGGCAGGTGACAGCCCCGTTGACGTCGTCTGCCCGACAAAATCTCAACACACAAATTCACAAATCGCGCTTATGAAAGAAAACAATAGCAATGCATAAATTATGTGAAAAGAGAAATAATAAACGGCAAGAAGAAAAGAAAAACATAGACAGGGAGATACAGAGAGAGAGAGAGAGAGAGAGAGAGAGAGAGAGAGAGAGAATGAGAGATAAAACAATTAAACAAATTATGTTTCGCGTAAGTATTTGTAATAATTGTTGTAAAATCGCCGTCGCGTCGCTGGCCAAGCAATTGGGTCAAATCTACCGGAGCCAGGCGAGAGATAAAACTAACTATGGACAACAACAGCAAAAACAAATAAAATAGTTAAATAATTTGACCAACAGCTACAACAACAACAAGAAGAAGAAGCAACTGAAAGTTATGCAATATTCCATCCACTATTATGAGTCTTTGCCAAAAGTTTGTTATTGTTTCTCTCGGTTTGTCTGTCTATCTATTTATTTATTTTATTTTTTTCGACAATTCATGAGTCTGGCTTCTCGCTTTCGTCTGCTTACCATATACCCTGCAATAGAGCAGAGTYTTATCCATTAGTTTGGTCGCAGCGTGAGTGCTGCAAGCGTGGCCAACCGCGTTAATGGCTGAGAAAATCCAACACTTTGACTTTCTGCACGGAAGTGGGGACAAATGACGCAATCGCCAGCTGGCTTATAAGTCGAATCACGCTTCAGCCGATGGCAACTTGCCCTGGAAATGCAGCTACCCATCTACATACAGACATACGTATGTCGGGGCATCCTTACAAACTGACATGCATTCGAATCCTTGTCTTGATGCTGCAGCTACGCACTGCTTTAATGTTGTTGCAGGTTAAGCTTTAACAGGTTGATGGTTATTCGAAAATGGTAATGCGAATGCCGCAGGAGTGTAAGCAAGCAGTGCAGCAGGGTACATGCAAAGGCTGTTCTGTTGTGAACTGCTTGGAAATGAGCTAGTAAATTTCTTTGCATTGATTTCAATTTTGCAATAATTTGAATGTAACAAAATTTAATGCAATTTTTTACACAACTATAGAAAATCACATATTTTAATTTGTATATTTGGAAGTCTTTTAGCAAATTATTCTGCTTGTCAGCTTGCAAGCTACTGGATTGCGTAGCTTTATACAGAAAGCAGTTGCTAATTTGCATGCCTTTACCAACACTTTCAAATTTGAATTAAAAAATTCAAGACGAAATATAAGTCCGCAAGAAACAAATTTAAAAAATTCAATATTATAAAGTCTAGCATAACCAAGAAGTCAGTTTAATGATCACAATTGCATCAAATTACTGAGCTAGTGTCTACGAAACCAAAAATTTATCAGTTCTAATTGCAACAACGACACTCTCTGCACTTGTTAGCTCACAGTCCATTGAAACTAGCAGCGACCGCTAAACCACAGCTTGCTAGGGATAGATTTGATTCAAATTATTTGAATGCAAATTTCCCTTTATATAAGGAACACGTTCTCGCAAAAAAAAAACAAGATTCGTTTTCATTAACAAGTAATAAATATATACATTAATTATATGGGTACAAATTCTACAACTGTTACATTTCTACACCATGTACCATGTATATACACATTTATATTGTTTTCTCTAATTTAAAATCTTGTAGTAAACGCAATACGTTATAAGGCATTTTGCTGGACTGTTGACACTTTGTGAACTATTTATTGGAACTGGGCATCCCTCTGCAGCAAGCAGTGCTATGTACTGTACTTCAGTCCGCAAGCTCTGTCCAACTAAATTAAATTAGATGAAACAAGGAAACTTTTTAGTATTCCATTTATTTGTACAGAGCGTATCTAAATTTCTTTTATTTATGTCACATATTTTTATACACAACTTTTTTATGTCTTTATATGGAATCCCTGCCTTACTGTACTTAGTACATTATGTGCGCCTTGCATTCCACCCTACAGTTTGAGGAGTACTTCAACTAGGCATCCTTGAGCAGCAAGCAGTGGTGTTAACTGCTTGGCACTTTGAATGCTTGGCCCGACTAAATCGAATTGGAATTACTATTTGAAAATTGGCCTGTCAATTTCAATTGATTGAAAATTACGTTACGTTGTAGCCAAAATTGTACGTATTGTCAAAATTGACGTATTGCTAAATCAGCTCAATTATTGAGCTGCCGTACGAAATTCCAGCATCGAATGTATCACAAAGCGATGGCGTGCGCCAGCCCCAGCTTCACGCAGGGCGTGCGAACGGGTGAGCTGGCGCCTAACCTGAAAGCGTGGCAGCGCATCGATTGGCCCTTGTGCTTGCAGGCGGGCATCTTCAGGGACTGGGCGTCGCGGCTGCGCACCAAGAAGGCCCTGGAGTACTTCAACCGCTCCCTCTCCATATGCCAGACCGAGGGGCAGGGCGCCTGCTGCAGGGACAGCCTCACGAAGCTGGGACGCCACAGCTGCTACGCCACCGAGGACAAGTACTGTCAGATGGCCGCCGATGCGCTGGGCAAGCGCAGCTTCTTCCGGCGGAAGATGGCCCAGCCAGAGCTGGCGCTGGAGGATGCCCAGAAGGCGCAAGACTTGTTGGCGCTCCAGGGCAAGTCGAGGCTCAGCAACGTGCTGAACAGATGCGACGCGTTGTTCGAATGCAATCAGTTCGAAGAGAATCTCGTGCAGCTCCACATCGAGAAGCGCAACTACCAGGCCAGAGCTGCCAAGGATTGCTTTGAGTACCGAGCCACCCACGTGAGTTAGGCAGGCTCGCTTGACTGAGATCCTTAGACCCAATCAGACGCAGTTTCCCCTCCGATTAGACAACGAGTGTGCTCGAGGATAGCTTGGGCGATGCTCTGTATCCCTTCATGCTGCACAACCGGCCCCTGGTCCTGAAGCTGGCGGGCTCTCGGTGCGCCTCAGCGGCCTTCATGCCGCGCCCCAATTGGCAGCTGAAAGCGAAGCGGGAGTGCGACGTGGAGAGCCTGGGGGACAAGGAGAAGGCGGACCACTCGCCGCTGGAGAGGGCGCAGCGTCGCATGCGCGAGAGCGCCTACAACTATCAGTACTTGCGCCACAGCGCCCGAGACCTGGGCATGCTGAAGCAGCTGCAGACGAGCCTCGCCCTGCCGCACCTCCCCTCTCAAATCTCCACGCCCCACATGACCGAGCTGCTCGCCGAGCAGTCGGCCATAGTGCACAAGTTCATGGTGGGAGTCCCATGTGCGATATGTCTGTCCTCTTGACCCCCTCTTGACTCACTGTCTCACCGTCTCTCTGCAGAAAATGAGCCACAGCCGCAGCCCGCTCTATCAGTGCAGGCATGAGAAGTGCCGCGGCACCCAGATCTGCGAGCGCAACCAGCTGGAGGCCCTGCTTCGCATCGAGTATCAGACGCGGCGCGAGTGCTTCCGGATGCTGCGCGAGGTGCACAAGCGCCGGCAGGAGCGGAACATCGAGCGCCTGACCGACTACGTCGAGCACATCATGTCCACCAGCATCGCGCTCAAGACGAGTCGCACGCTGCCCTGGAAGTGGGAGTTCGTCAACGAGGTATACAACATCCTGGCGCTGGCCCACATCGATCGCTGTGCCGTGCCGAGGAACGTCGACTTCCTGGACCTCCACAACCATTCCACTCTCTACCTGCTGACGACGGAACGTGCCAGGGATCTGTCCGTTAGCTTCGGCGATCGCAATATTTACGCCGAAATCGACAGAGAAGAGGCGCGACAGAGTCGCATGGCGTAAGTCACAAATATGAATGGAACTGTAGCCCAATTCCATATAAGGTGGAATGAAATGAGATATAACGAAGTGAAATGAAATGAAGTAAAACCGATTGGAATTGAATATAAGGTATTCAATCCAATCCATTAGAAGCCATTCCATTCCTTTTCATTCCGTTCCCTTCTATTCTATTACATTCCATTCCACTCTATTCTATTCCATTAAATTCCATTTCATTTCCATTCCATTTTATTATATTCCATTCCGTTTTATTCCTTTCCCTTTCACTTCATTCCATCCTATTCTCTTTCATTTCATTTCATTCCATTGGTTTCTATTCCATTCTATTGCATTCCATTCCATTCTACGTCATTCTAATACATTTCACTAAGTTCCATTTCGTTCAATTTTATTTCTTTCCATTCCATTCCGATCCTATTCGGCAGCAAGAAAATCGAGCGACTGTGCAGCCGCCTGAAGCACTCGCGCTTTGGCATCGAGCGCACGTACCTGAAGTTCGAGATCGCGCGCTGCCACTTCAAGGCGTCTCACTTCGACAAGGCGATAATAATGGCCCAGAAGGCGCTGCTTGGTAAGCTGCAATTGGATTTTGGAGTTGAGTTTCGAGTTGACTAACGTAGCTATCGCTGTGGGCCAACAGAGGCGGGCAACTGCAACAGCACCGTTTGGCGCTTCAATATCACCTTTCTGATCTGTCAGGTGCACGCGAATTTCTACCGCTTCAGGCGACTGGGCGAGACGCTGACCAGGGCCAGCCACTTGGCCGAACGGCTCCACTCGCCCAAGCTGCGGGCCTATGTGGCTCTCTGCCAGGCGGTCAACGAATATCAACTGAACTTTGCGCGCCACCGTGAGGCGGAGCAGAATTTCAAGGGCCCCAGGCGCAAACAGACATCGTATAGCTCAATTGAGTCGGCTGACCGCACTGAGGAAATATTCCATTAAGTAATTCAATGAACACAGCAGCAGCAACAGCAGCAGCAACAGGAGTAACAGCAACAGGAGCATTGGGTCACTGCTTGATATGGCTACACTGCTTGCTCTCTGCTGCAGCTGCTTTGCTTTGCTTCAGCTGCTCTACAACTGTTGCTGCTGCTGCTGCTGTTGCTCATCTCGAAAATGTCTCCATTGTATTGTTGCCTTTTGTGTTTCTTCATTTATTTATTTATTTTTTCTTTCGCTCATATTTTTATTTGTTTTTCATTATTTACAATAGCAATAAATAATTAATTAACAAGCTTTTAGCACGAACTATTCATTAACGCCCTTCAATAACATTCCTTGCGCCAGTCGCTCTCGACTGCTTGGCCCCTCCGCTCCAGTCGCTCCGCAACTGTTGCTCAAAATTTTCTTTTGTGTTGCATCATAAATTTATTAATTTTGTTTTCATTTGCTTACTCGTTTATTTGTTTGACTTTTTTCTACAATAGCAATAAATATGTATAATTTAACAAGCGTTTAACATTAACAATTCATTAACAATAATCATAATAAATAAATTAACAATCAGCTGTTGCAGCAATTAAATGCCGCTGCGCTGTCGCAAGCGCAAGCGTTGCAGTCGTCGCGGCTGCTGCAGTGGCTGCAGCTGCTGTTTAACCTCAGTTCCATTTACATTCCCATCAACAGCTTCGCGGCTTGGCTCATTGTTGTTACCGTTGTTGTTGATGTTGTTGTTGCTGCTGCTGCTTGGCCTGACAGCGCTTTCATTGCTATTAGCAGTTGACGCCTCCTGGCTTAGCTTTGCCTCGTCAGCGTCTTTAGCCTCAACTGACCCCTCATCGTCCACATCATCGTCATCATTGTCGTCTTCATCATCGTTGTCATCATCACCACCATCATCATCATCACCATCATCATTATCATTATCATTGCCTTGATCAACATCAGCTGCCTGCTGTGCCGCCGTTGAGCCCTCAGTCTCTGCCTCAGTCTCGCTTGTCTCGGTGTCTTCCTCAGCTGCTGCCTCTGTCGTAGGCTCCAGCTCGTTGTCATCTGCATCAGCTTTATCCGCATCTGTATTGACTGCTTCTTCTTCTTCTTCTTTGTCTTCTTCTTCTCCTTCTTCTTCTTCATCATCGTCATCATCCACATTCACTTCATTGTCACGGTCATTGGCAACTTCAGCTACTGTCGTTGTCGCATCCTCCTCAGACTCCTGCCTAGCTTCAGTAGCTGCTGCTGCTGCTGTTGTTGATGATGCTGCTGCTACTGCTGTAGCTGTTGTTGTTGTTGTTGTTGTTGTTGTTGTCGTCGTTGATGTTGCAGCTGGCGCCTCGTTGGCTGTTATTGAATTTGTAATTGTTTCAATTACTTCGTTTTGCTTTAGGTCGCTCTCGCCAGCATTGTCAACGTCGAGCTGTGCTGGCGCCGCCGTCTCCTCCTCCGCCTCCTTCTCTCCCTCCTCCTTTGGCACCGTCTCCTGCTGCGCAACGTCATCGTCGCCGTCGCCGTCGCCGTCGCCATCGCCATCACCATTACCAACGCCATCAACTTCACTGTCACCTTCACCTTCACCGTCACCGTCAGCGTCAGCGTCAGCGTCAACATCGCCGTCATTGTAAGTCGATGACACTGCCAGCTCTTGATCCCCAGCCATGAGCATTTCACTTTCGATTGGCAACGGCTCGGGCTCCGTTTCGGCCTCGAGCTCTGCGCTGGGCTGTGCGTATTTCTGGTCATCCCGGTCGGCATAGTCATAGTCCTGCACATCCTTCGCACTGTCATCCTCGGCCGCATCTTCTTGTTCATTCTCCGCCTCCAAGCTGCTTGTGCTCGGCAGCACGGGATTGCCATTCTTGTCCACGTACTGGACGCCATCGAGGCCCATGCGCATGCATTGGAAGTGCATCTCGAAGAGATCGGTGGTGGCCAGGCGCACCACGAAGTCCATGCACATGTTCAGGTTGTTGCCCACCATGGCTATGTCGGTCATCTGGACGCACATGGCCATCGGCACGCCCATCATCACGGGTATGCAGAAGGGCGACGGATTGCGCAACGATATCCCATACTTGGACGAGGGCCGCTCGTTGAGGAACACCGCCAGCTGCGCCTCCTCCAGGTGCGGCACGAACGTGACGTTGGCGCAAACTGCAATTAGAGAAAGAAAGTAACAGTTAGTCCGAAAACAACAACGAGAGCAACTGTGCGAGAGTTTCTCGCAGTGCAATGAAAGTTGCGGGTGGAAGTCTGCGATTCCAATTGGATTCCAACTGCGCACAGAGCAGAGCGAAGAGCGAAGAGCGCAGAGCGCAGAGCTTTGAGCGCCAACATGCAAACGATTTGTGGCATTTTGATTGGCAAATGCAACCATGTCATGTGACTGGCAACAATTTGTGGCACTTGCTGTTGCTGCTACTGTTGTTGTTGTTGTTGTCGTTGTTGTTGTTAGCTTGTCTATCGGTCTGTCGACCTGGTTGATGGCGCATGGCAAAAGTGCAGACGCTTCAATCAAGCAGCTGGACAAGTGGAGCAGCAGCTGGGAGTATGTGGGTCAGTGTGTGTGTACGTACCCTTCTGATCGAACTTGTACTGATCCACCTTGAGGCCGGCGCAGCAGCCGCAGCGCGGGCCGAGGCACTCGCAGGGCTGGCCAAACGTCGACCAGATGGAGCCCTTCTCCGAGTACTTGACGCTGGCCAGATTGCGGCCGCGCGACACGCTCACCGTGGGCGGCAGGTACGGCGTGTGCGTGGCCAGCTCGTAGAAGATCAGGCCGTTGCTGTAGCTGCGCGCCGCGGTGCCAGGCAGCAGCCGCAGCCGCAGCAGCAGCAGCGCGGCAGCGCAGGCGCAGAGCCAAGAGAGCGGCGCACTTGAGCTGAGCATTGTGATTGACTTGAACTGATTAGGCTTAGGCTGGAGCTGGGTGTATCCTTGAGGCTTGTCACAATTCACAGAGCAATGAACATTAAAAAAAAGAAAACTATTTAAATAATTTTTGCTGTACTTTTGCTGTTGTCTATTCACTTAAAAAAAAGGAGACGCGCGCGTTGACTGAGCCCGACTGCTGAACGCTCAACGTGTGAATCGCAGTTGAATTAATCGACCGTTCGCGAGCGACGAGAATTAAATATTAAAACGCTGAACGCGTCGAGCGTTTGCTTAAAAATGAAATGGAAACCGCCAGCCAAAGCGCCAGCAGCTGCAGCAGCAGCAGTCGAGGCAGCGACGCCAGCTGAGGCAGAGACATCGACAGCAGCAGCAGCAGCAGCAGCAGCAGCAGCAGCAGCAACAGCAGCAGCGACAACAGCTGCAGCTGTGACTTTTTTTTTTTTTTGCTTTTTGCTCGCAAGTTATTTGAATACACTGTCTTCAGCTTATCTAGATACATTTGATAAATATATAACATATATGTTTATTTTGAAATTATTTATAGACTTTTCATCCATTTACTTTATTATATACATATGTTGATTTCAGTTTTTCACTTATTTTCGGCTCATACGGAAGTCTCAGGTTGGTAATCCTACAGTGAAGACCTGTAGTAATATCCATGTTCAGTCAGATTTTAGCGAATTCTTCAATCTATTAGCATTTGCCTGGCAACTCGCACGAGTTGTGAAGAAATATTTTGCGCCTCATTTTCACACTTGCTGAAGTTACGTGTAAAACACTTTCGTCATTTTGAAGTAGGTGGAAAATCTTGCACATAAATATGTTGTGCGCTTACGGTCCAGTTGATCTTGAGAGTGAGAGTGAACATAAAAATATAAATTTTATTAAATTTCTGATTTATTTGAAATCTGTTTTATAAATTGGATAACAATTTTAGATTATTAGGATTTTTTTTTTTTTAATGCTAAACTAATCTTTAAAGATCTTATCAAAATTGTGATATGATGTGCAATAATATTGTTAAATATGAACATAATTCCGAAAAAGTTTCTTATTTTTTATAAGTCTTGTAAATCAACATTTTTGTTGAATATGTAAGAATTACAGGTTAAAGGTCTGTGCTCTTGACTCTGATATTATCCATTTCATGTTTGAGAATCGTATGGTAAGGTGATACAAATACAATTTGAGTTTATTATGTAATGTAATGATATATCACTCTATTCTATCTAGAAGACGTGCTTCAACCGGCCTATATTTTCTGTTAGCCTCTATAAAAGGTCGTTAATTTTAGAGGTTTGCAGCTTTGTTCAGACTGCCTTATTTGACAGTCAATTTAACAGCTAATAGTTTTTATTTTGTTGCACATTGGGTTAACATTTCATTATGGCTAGCATTATACCAGAACTAAAGGACAGCTTTACATTGATAAGGCCCATTCATTAAGCCAGAATGGTCGCATTTAGGAATAAATTAAGTTTTTCGGATCAACATTACATTTACAGAAAATTATTTTTTAAATAAAATTGCCATAAGAAACAATATTTTCTTCGCTTTAAATTAAAAACTACGTTCTCGTTTCTTCTTCTTCTTCTTCAGCTACGATCACTGAATTTAAATCAACTACCGACAGCGTTATAGCCATCGATAGATGTGCATCTATTGATAGTTACCCATATTGCTGTTCCATCTAATCTTTTATAGGCCTACCACAATTTACAACAGAATCCGGGTATAGCGCCGCTCAAGGAACTATCGTTATACCCGGAAGACGCTAAACCATATACGTTTTCTCATATACATTATTACTTAATTCAGCCCGCACTAACTTCATGTCAAAGTATTTAACATGAGCAGCTGAGAGTGAAAACATTTACTCGAGAGAGAAAGAGGGAGAGGGAGAGTGCATTTCATCGTCGACTTGTTCGTCTGCTGTGAAGCTTTCTTGTTATCAGCATGCTGAAATCGTCGAAGCCGACGTCGCCGTCAGCTGCGCTGCTCTTGTCTGATGTTTTTTCTGTCTTTTTTTTTGGCTTTGGGCTGCTGCCGTTTTTTGTTGTTTGTTTGTCTTCTTGACTGCTGCTGCTGTTAACTGTTAACTGTTGCGAGTGCTGCTGCTGCTGCTGCTTGGCTTTGTTGCGTGTGCCGCGTTTTGGGTGACAGTGACAAGAAAATTGCGCCGGTCGTGACTTGCTGGGAAAGCCAAAAATGCTGCCGCTGTCGCAGCTGCTGCCGCTGCTGGCGCTGCTGGCGTTACTATAGCCATGGCTGTTGCTGTTATGCAAAGCGCCTGGGCACTTGGGTTAGGTCAGGGAGCTAGCGGGTTCTGYCTAACAGAAACCAAATGCCAGCAAAGCCAACCAACAAACAAAAAGGAAAAACAGAAAATGTTGCGCTTGGTGGTAAAAGCGAACGATTTGTGCACAAGCGTTGCCCGCTTACATTGCTGATTTATCAATGGAAAGCAGTGGCATTGTTTAGGCCATTTTCGCTGCCAATTTCGCCAGCCAACAAGCCAACGCCAACTAGCTAKGCAGCCAGCCAGCCAGCCAGCCGACCAAAGGGTCTTTAAATCCAATCGCATTAAGCGCAACGCTGCGATTGCATAATGAGTCAGACTTGCTATCCAACATACACCCCTCGAGCTGTCGCGCTACCAAATCTTGTTAAGCGTTAAGGGGAACGCAGCCGGGCTTGGGGTTGGGGCCGACGACTCTAGAGTCAAGAAAAAGTGCACTAGGCAAGCTCAGCGCGACTAACAGATACCCTCTATAGACAGAGGGAGGGGAATGAGAGAGTCCACTGCGGAAAGAGAGGAACCAAGCTGAGAGAGAATAAGCTCATATTCATACTCATCATCATATTTATAATCATATTCATATTTAATTTCATATTCGTATTCACATTCATATTCATATTCATATTTATATTCATATTCATATTCATATTCATATTCATATTCATATTCATATTCATATTCATATTCATATTCATATTCATATTCATATTCATATTCATATTCATATTCAAATTCATATTCATATTCATATTCATATTCATATTCATATTCATATTCATATTCATATTCATATTCATATTCATATTCATTTTCATATTCATATTCATATTCATATTCATATNAAATTTGCAAATGATACAAGATAATATCTAAAGGAACTGTAGGTTTGGGTCCTGCTTCAATTCAATAAATTATTCTGCTTTTATTTTTTTATTTTTTATTTCTCGGTAAATATAGTATTTGAGCATGACAATATGTTTGTTAAATAAATAAATAAATAAGTTTTGCGTATGCGTAAAATAATAAAAATTAAAATCTTAATCAATGAAACAAAGTACGCAAATCGTGTGCGAAAAAAACAATATCATTATAATTGTGTCTATAACTAAGTATATTTATCTATATCTATGCAAATTTGCATTTAAACTTTGTGAATAAATTGAATGTGTTTATATTAATGCAACAAACATTACAAACACACAAAAAACATTGAACAAAACAAATAAGCCGAGCCGCAAGCTATGCAAATTGCAATAGCAAATTACGCAATACGAAACATAAATAATTAAAACGCATAACAATTGACTTTTGTTTAAGTATTAACCGAAAATAAATAATAAAATTAACTGCCCAACATCCATGCACATCCTCGCACACACACACACACTGTCGCACACGCACACACTAACAGTAATTGAACCAACACCACATAAACCAGAAATAAATTAAGATTAATTGAGGGAAAATAGTCAAAAATTTGGGCAAATGTGGTCGAAAATTTTTTAACTTTTCGTTTGGAGAAGAGAAAAAATTTTCAAGAATTTTAAACCTACATAACTTGGAAAATTAATCTTAAAACTTTGCAAACAAAAATTATCTTATTCACTATTCATATATTTCTTATTCATTTGTTGTTGTTATTGGTCATCATTATTAAATTTTTTAGTTTGTATATCTATTCATATTAGTATTTGCCTTCATATTCATATTCATATACATATTCATATTCATATTCATATTCATATTCATATTCATATTCATATTCATATTCATATTCATATTCATATTCATATTCATATTCATATTCATATTCATATTCATATTCATATTCATATTCATATTCATATTCATATTCATATTCATATTCATATTCATATTCATATTCATATTCATAGTCATACTCATATTCACATATGTTGCTCATTTCATCTCGTCAAACCTATGATACCCTACATTGTTGCAGGCACATCCGATGAGTACAGGGTATACAAATTGACAAAGTCGCCAAGAGCTGCGACAATTAACGCTAATTCGACGTCGTCATCGTCTGCCGCAGCCGCAGCCGGAGCCACGGCGTCTGCATCAATTGCTAGGTATTTAAAGAGTGCCAGTGAAAGAGGTGCAGAGAGGGGGGCGGAGAGGGTAAGAGAGGGGGGTAATCGCAATCATTGGTGCAATGCGCCCCGTTTATGTAATGAGCATCGTTGTTGGCCATTGTCAGAGCAATAGACGCCTTTTTTTTTTTTTATTATTCAGTTGGCGGTATTCATTATTCATTACTGATAATATGAATTTTGAATGCGGCCTCCTTTTCTCTTTCGCTGCCCATATTATGGCTGCGAGGCGATCAATTGAACAGGTGAACAGCTGGCGGGGCACAACAATTGGACAATTGGACCATCGGACCATCGAGACAATCTAAGCCGGCAACTGGGTCAAGTGACGAATGCGTAACGCCAGTGCGACTCGATAGAAACGTTGCCAGTTGCATCCGACTTCGTAGCATCCACTAATATCCATTACACAGACTCATCGAAAGCCACACTGGCCGTAATTGGCTTAAGCGCCCCACTGAGTCATCGCCACCCAAAGGTGCCGCAGTCGCATTCCCAATTTATTGCAAATAACCGCTTGAGCTGCCACAAAAAATCGAATGATCATCGATCGATGATTGTTGAGTCGGGTAAATGCTGGAGGATTAAATGGAGGAGATTTATATAAGTGGACAAAAATGTTGACAGCTTCGCGTCGATGGGCGAGGAGTTCAGACATTACATAAGAGGGGTACATAAGGTGGCTAAATGTCGGAAATAAGCAATATTCATAGACTGTAACCTCACAATGCGGTTCACTTAGTCTTCGATCTGTGATGTTTCACTTATTCTGCTTTAGCATTTTCCGTTTGACATATTTTTTACAATCATGTAAAGATTTTAATATAATTTTATTTTTAATGAGGTATTTATTATTTCTATTTTATTTATTTATTTTTTTATTTAT